CCTGGGTGGCCACCTCGGCACAGCTCCTGCCCCGCCAACCCCTGCTTGTACCTGAGGGCCTCTAAGCACTAGGTGCTACGTGGGCTGCTTCACGTTCTAGTGTGAAGGTGCTGAGGCGCAGAGGGGAGGGAAGCAACATGCCCAGTCACAGAGCTCAAAAGGAGGCTGCACCCGAGTTCAGCCCACTCCCAGCCCACGTCCGTCTGTAAACACTACTCGCGCCGCCGCCTTCAACTGCTCTCTAAGCTGTTTTTGTTTTCCCTTTGCTAATAAGGCAGTAACTGATTAGCCTTCTCTCAGAGTAAACTAGGATTTGGGTTCTTAGTGAATAGATCGGTATGGTTTAGTGGTCTAAAAACAGGTGGAAGTCAGGACTCCTGGGATCCCGGATAACCCGGAGGTCCTGTGTCTAAATACACATAGGTTCTAGGATAAGGGAAGTGGCCTGGAGAGGAAGGAGACGCCTGGAGCACACGCATGTAAAGATGTCAGAGGGCCTTCAGACGTGAAGATTTATCCACTTAGGATTGACAGTTTTAATTTACCTAAAATTTCTCAACTACAAACTTAAGTTGGATAGCAGATGGATGATTGGGTCCTAATACCTGTTTTTTTTTTTTTTTTTTAAGAATTATTTTAGGGGGAACCAGCAGTTAGCGTAATGGCTATATCTCTGGACTCCCACGTAGTCCACCGTGGTTCGCGTCATGGACCCGGTAGCTTAGACCTCACGCCAGGCGCGTGTGTGTGCGTGCCCAAGATCCCGAGAGGAGAATGGAGAAGGGATTGCGGCGTGACCATCCCCCCTGGGGGATGATTTCTCGCTTTCTGTCTCTACGTCTCTCTCTGTCTGGCGAGTGCACGCTCCCTATAGCGAAAACCTCTCCAAAAAAAAAAGAATTATTATTTTAGGGCAGCAGTTGGTGTAATGGCTATGTCACTGGATTCCCATGTAGTCAACCACGGTTCGAGTCTTGGACTTGGTGGCTTAAACTCACACTGGGTGCATGTGCATATGTGTGTGTGCCAAAGATCTCGAGAGGAGAATGGAGGAGAAGGGATTGCGGCATGGCCATCCCCCAGAGGGTGATTTCTCA